TATCTATCTAGTATCCACCTATATATCTATCCTATGGAGTGGAGGTCTCTGCATACCTGTATCACTATGCCAATTATTATGCATTTTTTATCGAATCGAAAATTGTCAAGTGAATTTGGTATGAAAAAGGCAGTGAGAAAGGGTAAAAGAAAAAACGGGAAAAGAGGAGGGAAAATTACAGCGCAGCACCGAAGAAATTTTCAAGTTGCTAAGCAAATTATGTGTAATTTAGAAGGGGGATTTTTTCCTTTTTCGTAAACCCCCTCCACCCTTCCGCCACTCCACCTTTTGCGTATTTGTCAACTTAGCACATCGATAATTTTTCCTGCCCCCTTTGGCAGGACGACAATTTTAACACAATTATGAAAAACGTTTCCAAGATGGTGGAGCAGGAAAAGTAGGGGTATTGAGAAGGGGGTTCTCTCCTCGAGGGTTGTAGGTTGTGTTCACTATAACAAAATTTCGCCCTCAACCCCCAAATGACCCCTTTACCCCGCCCGCCAATGACTTTGTGGAGGAAAACTTGGGAAATATGAAAATAAAAATGGGGGAGGGCGGAGTGGGGAGGGGGGACACGCCCATTTAATTGAGCCTACGGCTTCGAGGAGGTGGGCGTTTGGGGGGCGGGGCAGGCCAGTGCACTTTGATTGCGTTTTGTCGCCGTCAGCTGAGTTTTTACCCAAAACGAAAGAGCCAAGGAGCGCAAAAGAACAGAAAAACAAAAAAAATAAATATGGAGGAAATGGAAAATTTTTATTTATGAAAATTAAACAAGTGAACTTTGACAGGCGGTTGCCCAGGGGTTGACCCCAGAAAAAAAGAAGAAAATACAAAAAGTCTATAGGAAAGAGTGTGTGTCCTTTGGCGTGTCATTAAATATTTTTGTCTGTCACATTATCGCATGCCTGTCACAAAAATTTCTGACAGCAATTAGAAATTTAGATGGGGGATACAAAAAAAAATATATATGAAAAATAAACGAAAAAAATACCAATGTAATAGTTTTCAAGACCTAGTCTTGTCGGGATATTATAACTAAACAAATTAAATTTAATTTTAAAAATTCGAGGAAATAAGTTGGATTATTCCATAATTTCGTTTTTCATCCATATATTTATTTCTCATTGGAGGGCTTTCTAGAAACGATTCTGGTTCCAATATATTGCCGCTTTCAATTAGCTACAAACTGGCGAAATCAAAGCCATCTCGCACCATCTTTCTATTTTTGAAACGATTTTTTCGTTTTCCCCCTCTTCCTCTCGGGGTCAACACTTGATAATTTTTGACATATTTTTTATAGACTTACTTCCAATGGCTTTCGATGACTTCTGAAATCCTATTTCCTTGACTTCTCGCACCGAAAGTGTCGCCAAGTGTTCAGGGGCGTGGAAAACGAGGGGCGAAGACTTTATTTATTTGCGCGCTTAGACGGCAATTTCAATTAATTGATAAGTCAGAGCAACGAGCAGCAAAACGAAGAAAGATTTCACGCTATTCGCTTTAGCGATTTAATTGCCGGCGACAAATTGAGAAAGAGGGAGCGAAAATATTATGAAATCAAAGTAGAGCGAGAAAGACGCTCAAGTGGAATTTAATTTTAGACGTGGGATGATTTCGTTTGAAAAGAAATTAAGTAATTTCCAGGGAGCTGTCAAACTTTTGTGAATGACTAAAAACTAAGGCCACAAGCCTCGAAAATGATTGCATCCATGAATCGAAACAAAATTTGCTAAAAAAGAAAAAAAATGAGGCACAAAAAAGCGATTGAATCGAGCTCGAGCCAAGTGAATGCAAATCCACTCGCAAAACATTCAAGTGGCACTCACATGAAGAGGCGAAAAAGAGGGGGCCGCGGGGATGGGGGTTGTGCGGCAGGAAAAACAATAATTTTGACATTGATGATGATGGGGCAACGGCAACAGAAGCGGCAACAATAATTCTGTTTGCTGTTTTGCCATTTGGTTGTTGCTTTTTTTTTCGCACGTCTCGCAAACATGCAACAACAGCAACGTGTGTGTGTGTGGCGTGCAAAAAAGTTGCAACTTACACACAGCCATAATCTCCATATGTGTGCTAGGTACAAGTACTTAAAACTTTTACAAGCCACCAGGGGTTCTCCTCCTCCCTCTCCCTCTCCCTACCTCTCGCTCGCCATCTCGTTTGCTCCCATTCCTCATCTAGGGCCGCCCCCACCACGCCCCCTTTTACAACAATTGCATGCCACACTTTGGGGCAACCCCCTTTTCCCCCTTTGCAGGGTCATGAACTCGGTGGCACGGAGAAAAAATAACATTTGCATATTTTACAATTATCCATATTCTATGTTTATAAATTAATTTTTTTTCTGTTGTGCTAATCCTTAAAATCTTCTTTAGTATTCATCTACATATTATTTCCGAATTTCGGTTATTGCTTAAAGGTTTTTAACTAAAGCTATATTCGTTTTATAGTCAACCTCCACAAAAAAATAGGCACACTTTTATAGGCATAGTTAGATTTATAGATATTTATAATATATTTAAAAACCCTGTTTGTAAATACTTTTAATTTTTTCCCAGTGCACATATTTTTTTTTGCCAAGTTGCAAAGTGAAGAAACAAGTTGGTGTTTTTTGTTGTTGTTTTTTTGAGGTGGGGATTGTAGTGGGTTGGTTTTTTATGCCCATGGCTTGGCCACTTGGTTTAGTTTCACACTTCAAATCGCCAAACTGCTAATGAGCTTAAGGATATAGCCAGAAAAAGGAGAACCCCCCCCCCACACACCTCCTCAAACTCGAAAAATATAATTTTCATCAACTTTTTTGTGAGTGTGGCTTGTTGTTTGGTTTTCTGTGTGCATATTTCCCCAAGTGCGAACAACCAACAACAAAATGCAACTACTTGCATAAAGATGGGGGCGTGGGCGTGTGCGGTGGGCGGTTGGCGGCTGGGGGCGTGACCAGGGGCCCCTAGACACCTGGCCAGACGTATTCGCAACTTTCAGCACACAAAACTATTTGCAAATATTTTATTTTTGCGCTTATTTCCACTTTCTATTGGTGTTTTTGCCACGCCCCCGCCGCCAGACCGGCATTGAAACTATATGTATATATATTTAGACGTATATATATATATGGAGAAGAAGGCGAAAAGGCGGAGGAGGCGTTGGCCAAAGAGGCTTAGCCGAGGCGTCAGGCAATTTGTAGCTTAAAAAAGCAACAACAGAAGCTAATTGAATTTGGCTGGCTACGAAATGAATTACCGTAAAGTGGAAATAATAGTTAAAGAAAATATGGCAAACAGAAATAAACGCTAATTTATGGCTATACCTTTTGGAAAATATAGTCATTTCCAGCAAGGTTTTTAACTCGTAAAAATAAAAGTGCCTCAGCTTCGGAGTAATTGTTAAATTTACAAAAAAAATCCTTCTCTTCGAAAATAGAGAAAAAAGTATGACTAAATTTTATACATTTTTTTTTAAATTATCTTTAGATTCCCTTTAAATTTCCCTGCATTTTTGCAGCCTTAATTGTTTTGCAAATTATAAGGGGCACTATCGGCGACATTTTGGAGTGCATTCACAGCTGCCACATCTTGCACTCACTTGACACTCACTCCATTCACTCCGACTGAGTGTGAGTGCGTCGCCGTGAATACTTTCTCAAGTAGGTGTGAAGCTCAAAACGCATTTTCACGCTCCAACGCAGCTTGAATGTCAACGTCGTCGTCATATAATCACCATCGTATCATCATCATCTTCTCTCGAGGGAGAGAGTCTGACTTTTGTGGATCTCAGAGGCTGATGACATGCTGCTGGAAAAATGGAAAAATTATAAAAACGACAAAAAAAAAAAAACGAAACGAGACGAAACGACAAAAAAAGGGGAAGAACAGGGGCGTCTGTTCACCTACTTTCAGCTCAACTGGGCGTGGAACTTGGGAGCGGTTTTAACGGCTAACGGGAGCTTGAGACGTCGCCACACGTGCTCAAGTGGCCAAGGCTGCTGCCCGGGTTGTGACCCGACCTTCGGCCCTTCGGCCCTGTGGCCCCAGATCTGTGCCCTCGATTGCCAAAAGCTCGACGAAAGGCCACGTTTATTTGCCAATATAACGGCGAAGAAACGCATCCGAAATATTACTAACAATTTTATGCGTTCATCACTCCGACATCCCTATCCCAAATTCAAAGCATATTAAGGGCTTTGTGAGAATTGAGTCCCATTAATGTACAATTTTGTACATAACATCACTGAATATTAATTCGCATCAATTGGTTTCAAAAAGTCACTTTTTCTTTATAATAATCACAATTCGAAGTTTAGTTTTGTATCACTTTTTGTTTTAAAATTTCACCATAAGCTTTAACCTACAGCTCATTTTATGGTGTTTTGATTTTTTATATAAACAACGACATTTTTAAAAGAGCTTAGAGAGTTTTCAACATTAGAAACAAATGATATATCTCGCATTTATGAATCCTAACGCATTATTATTTTCTTATAGCCCACACTGTTGATATTCCTAACACTCAAAACACACTCAATATTTAATACATTTCGAAAAGATTTTTAGGGATCAGTTTATAGATATGATAAAAACTGGAAACTGTTTTAAGATACTATATTAGAAACTTGGATAATTTATTTTATCCTTTTATTTCGCTTACCGAATTTTATTTTTAAAATGAGTTTTGGGATACATTTATATTTTAATTAAAATGAAAATTATTAATCCCATTGAACTGGAAACATTTTCAAGATCCCATACCGGAATAATATTGGAACTATACTTTTTACTTAATATCAAAGACTTTTTTACGAATTATTTGGGATTTATAGTATTTAATATTTACGGAAACCAACTTGATGATAAGTAAACTCCCCTTTCCGAACAACTGCTTCGATATAATGTACGAAGTATCCCTTATAAGGAGCTATAATCCATTTCACATTTTTTAAATAATAGATACTGAACCCAAAGTAGCTATAGCCCTTTTAAAGAACCCCTGGGATCGAAACTCACCTGCCGCTCTTGGTGATGACCATTTCCGTGCCCAGCTTGTGGAACTTCTCCCACAGATCCTTGCCCTCCAGCGTGACCTTGGGATCATCGACGACGCCATCGTCCTCGGGCTGGAGAGCGCGGAGCGGTCGCATCGCCGGATGGAGCTGATGGGCGACGGCCGAGGCGAGGACGACGTCCTCGGCGGTGGTGTAGGCGCTGCCCAGATGGTGGGCGTGCGGGTGGGCGCCCGGGTGGTGCGGCGGGAAGCGCAGTCCACCGCCGGGATAGAGGCCCGGATGGGGTCCTGCGGGACTGCCAGCTAGAGCGGCCAGGGCCGCAGCGGGAAAGTATGGAGGTGGTGGTGGTGCCTGGTGTTGCTGCTGCTGCTGCTGCTGTTGTTGTTGTTGCAGGTGGTGCGGCGGTGTGGGTGGCGGCAGACCCGTGGCGCCAGAGGGCGGGGCAGCGGCACCCGTGCTGGGGGAATGATGTGGTGGGTGGTGCGACGGATGGGCGGCGGCGGCGGCAGCTGAAGCGGGCGGTGGTTGTTGTTGTTGTATCCCCGAAACACCAACAATTGTGGGCGGTGGTGGTGTGCCAGCGGGCGATGGCGTTTCTTCGGTGGTGCTCAAGTGGTGTCCTTGCTTTTGATTTGTATTATTATTATTCGTATGGTTGTTATTATTATTATTATTCGTGTTGTTGTTATTGTTATTATTATTATTGTTGTTGTTGTTGTTGGAACTGGAGTTGTTGGTGTTGCTGGTGGTGGTGGTGTTGCTGCTGCTGTGGTTGCTCTGCGGCGATAACTGCGCACCACCACCCGTTGGTGAAACGGCCACAAGACTGTTGGTGTTATTGGTGTTGCTCGAATTGGTGTTGTTGTTGGAATTGGTATTAGAATTCGAGCTGTTGTTGTTGTTGTTGGTGTTGCTGCCGCTGGTATTGTTGTTGCTACCCGCCGTCAACAGCGAGGAGACGCTGAAGTCAGTGGGTCGTTGCGTTAGCTGCAGAAATGGATGATATGCCATCCCATTGGCGAACCTGGCGAATGGATCCTCAGCAGACTGATGAAGTAGCAGCTCCTGGACGTCGTATCTCATCACATAACCGTTTCAAACAACCAAGTGCGTCATGCAGAAAGGATTTCCCACGGCGATCTCTCAAAACGGGATCTCTTTAAAAATTTCCTTCTTTTCTAGTTTTAGATTTGTGTTTTTTGTTTTTTTTTTTATGTTCTACAGGTACTTGTTTTTTTTTTCTTTAATTTTCCGGGGCACACTCACTGGCACTTTTTATTTCTCTTGTTGTTGTTTCAAAAAAATTCTTGTTTAATTTCTGCAGAAAAATATAAATATTTTAGTTGGTTTTGCCGTTTAAGATTTTCGAGAACGCTTCTTAGTCGTTTAGAAATTAAAAGTTTGCCTTGGGTTTTTCAATAGTTTTTCAATGGTTTTCTATATTCTTTGTTATGGATTTTGATATTTCTCTAGTGTTTTCAAATTCGTTTCTATCTCAATGGGGTCTCCTGCCTTCTTATTGGTGTTTAAAATGGTGTTTAAATAATATTTTCGATTCTATTGCCTGAATTTGGGGTTCTATAGCATTTGAATTATGTTTTGAAGATCATACTCGAATAAATGATATGTTTTTCAAGGTTATCCTATCCTATTATAGTTGGTTTTTAATTTTATTTAAGTTTTTGCGATGATTTTGAAGTTTTCGGGCCTATAAATATTACCAAAGTTAATATTTCTAAATCTATTTGCTTTTGCTGCCTGGAATTAAAACTTCTAAAAGAACCCTTTAAATTATATAATTTTCTTTAATTATTTGGGTAAACAAACAATGCTTAATTTTGCTCAACACTTTTGCTAAGTAATTTTATGGGTTTCAACTTTATTGGTTCCTCTTTATCCTGCCTTTCGTTATTTCTGTTCGTTGCTTTTTCCTTGTTTGTTTTTAACTTTTGCTTGCCTCTTTCTTTTTTTGTTTTGGCGACGGCAAAACGTCGAGAATGTATGAACTTTGTTTTTGTTTCCCTTTTGTTTGTTTCTTCGCAACTTCACTGGGCAATTCGGAGTTTGTCCGCTTGCTTTAGCTGTTGTTTGTTTGTTTGTTGTTTTCGGTTGTTTTGTTTGTTACCAAAGAAAGGAGAACGCAAAAAAAAGAGCACAAAAGGAAATCGGCGATTCAGATTTGGATGAAGAGGAAGATGGAGGAGATGGAGATGGCGACACGACGATCAACGAACAACGAACGGAGGGAGAAACAACAAACGACGAGAAACGACGGGCGACAAACGACAGAAGCGACAACGGCAAACGGCAAACGACAAACGCAACCGACAGGCGACAAAAGCGACAGAGCGGCGATGACGACACGAACTACACGCCGGTCGCTTTCAAACTGGAAACTGGAAATACACACACGCCGAAACGGACGCCGACTGCGCTGCCGCCGCTCTGCTCGCTCTGCGCGCCGCTCTCGCTGGCTCGCTCTCTCTCTTTGGCCCGTGGGGGGCCGTGCGAGCGAGATGGCCGTCTGTGGGGGTGCACTCGGTGCGAGCGAGAGAGCGAGAGTGTTGAGTTTCCTTCGCCCGGCACTCGGAGGGCGTGTGCAAGTGGGCGAGAGCGAGAGGGAGAGAGAGAATGAGTGAGCTGCGGGGTTCCAATAAGAAAACCAAAAACTCGAACCAAAAGTGTTGAGTTGACGCCTGTGTAGGTGTGTGTGCGAGTGTGAGTGTGTGTCTAGCGTGTGTGTGTGTAATGGGAAATGGCACCAACCAACGGCGGCAGCGACGTCGCGTCAAAAGCAGCGTGTTAGAAGTAACAAGGCAGCTGACACCACTACAACAAGGAGAAGAAGAAGTGAAGGAGGTGGAGAAAGGAGAGGAGGAGGGGAGGAAGGATTGGGGAGGCGTAGGAGCGGGAAAAATCAGGCGGAAGAAAAGATATCAAATAAATAGTTGAAGAAAAATAAAACAAATAAAAAAAAAGTAAAGGAGAAACGAAAAGATAATAAAAGAAGGCAAAATAAAAGGAGATCAAAAAGAACAGAAGGAAGAAAGAGTCAATTGATACAAATTTATATGAAAAAGAAAAAATAAATAAGCATAAATAAAATTATAAGAAAATATTTAAATAAAACAAGGAATTAGAAAAAAGATAAGGAAAATACAACCTTTTAAAGTCTTAATTTAAAAAAAAATGCCATAAAAACCTTAGTAAAAATATAAGAATTAAGAAATACTCAGCGAAATGAAAAAGAAAATAAATTGGCAGTAAAACAGAAGCTAGGGGCAAATAAAAAAGCACAGTAAATCACAACGTTCGGGGGATGGGCGCACAAAGGGGGCGTAACACGGGGGCGGCGGAATTGTAAAGAAGCAAATAATGAAAAAAAAAAAAAAGAAGCGGCCAAGTTGACAAATGACGCGCAAGCGAAAAATGCGCTTCAATGGTCAAATGTTTGTCAAAGGGGGTGGTGGGTGGTGAGATAAATGCCAGCGGGGAGGGGCGCGGCGGGAGGTGTGGTGAGATAAACGAGGCGGCCAGGCGGCGGGCCGAAAAGGGGGTGGCATTTCCCAGGCGGAGATAAAATAAAAGCGGCTGCGAGAAAGAAGCACTTAAAGGCACAAAAGTTGACCTACAATGACCTCCAGACAATCAAGAGCACTGCTCGAAAAATGTATATTCAACATTTAAAAAATGTAAAACAAATTTTGGGTGTAAAAAAGTATGCTACAAAAAAGGTGTTAGTACAAAGTCCTTAAACAACTGAATCCTTTTTTATTTGAGTATCTGTAAGTTATACGATAAAGAAAGGATCAAAAAACTAAAGATTTAAAAAGATCTTGAAACCAAAAAACAGAAATAGATAATTTAATTTTAAAAATTATCTTTCAAGGGATTCCAAACTTTATTGTAATGTAGTTCTTGGCATTTCCGTCACATTTTTGTATGAAAACCTGAGATACCAAACAGTCTTAACCCTCCACTGGCCACCGTAACCCACCTAGGACCCCCCTCTCTTAACCCACCAAAAACTAAACGCTTGTTAGCCGCTTTGGCAGCTTTTATGCGTCCCTAAAATGTAAATGAAAAGATTTCGGATTTGCGAAAGGGGATAACGGTGAGCAAGAAATTCGCAAGTGCGAAAAAGCAGAAGAGCAACAACGACGGCGACGCTGGCAGAGCTTCTGCTGCTCTGCCGCCGCCTCTGCCGGCGTCGACGTCGTGTGACAAACTTGTCGCCAAAAGTAAAGCGCAAACATGATGGGTGCGAGCGAGATGGCGGATGGCGAGAGGCGTGCAAATGAAAAGGCAACCGGCTCAAGTCACCAACACCAAGAAGCCAAATGTATTTTGTCACACGTACTCATGTACTCACACACGTACACACACACACACACCTACAAGCTGGCACACACACACATCCAAAGAGGAGACAAAGAGCGAGCTGGCAATATGGCGGCTTTGCCGTGTGCAAGAAAAAGATGGCAAGCGACTTGCTTCTTCCTCTTTTGCTTGTGTGACAAGTTTAACCACAAACGCACACACACACACACACACACTAGTGCCGAGGGGAGAGCACAATCAAAATGGAACCTCTAATTCTCTCTTCTGCGCGAAAGAGACGCAAGATGAGGTGACAACATCTGTGTCTGTGTGTGTGTGAGTGTTTGTGGTGTGAAAAATTACAGCAAAGCAGCGACGTTTTTCGTTTCTTCTTCGTTTTTGGTTGGTTTTTTCGGATCACCTTTTTTCACGATTGTTTTTGTTTTTCCGATTTACCTTGGTGTGGGTGCGAAGGAGAAGGAGGAGGAAAGGGGACAAAGAAAAGCAGAGAAAGGCGATTTAATTGGTCTTACTATTCCTCAATTAAAGTCTCAAAAATATTAAGAAAATGTAATTTTAAAAAAATGTTTTTTCAAAGACAATATTTTAATTTAAATAAGTTTTTCATGTCAAATTTTTGTTTGCTCATTCCTTAAAATTAATACTTAAATATAAAATACATTCAATATGAAAATGAACAATCCTTGAAAACTCGTGAAAATCTTAAATAAATCTTCCACTTTTGCACAAAGTGTTGAACAATTTCCGTCTTTGATATTTGGCGCAAAACTTTTGTTTGAATGGCGCACACAAATACACACGGATGCTGTGAAAAGTCGGTGAAAAGTCAAAAGTGGAAAGGTGTTAATAAACAACCAACCAAAATGCAGAAAATCTCAAGTTTTTCGGCTTTTTCAAAGGGACCCTCGCTCAATCTCTCTCTCTCTCTCTCTGTCTCTTGCTCTCTCCGATTCTCTCGTTATTGATTCAGTGTGGTGTGTGTGTGCGTGAGGTGTGTTGAAAAAGCTTACACTTACACTTACACAGCATCCCTCACTCTTTTGCTCCCTCTTCAAGTGATTTTTTTGTTGGCGCTTTGTAGCTAATTAAAACTTAATGTGTGTGTGTGTGTCTGTATGTGTAGAAAGAAGGAGCAAAAGGGCTCATAATTATCAGAGAAAAACTTTATTTGGCGGCATTTATTTCACTGGCTGTCTTTTCCTTTCCCAGCTATCTCCCTCTCTTTCGCCGACATGCTCTCTCTTTTCCTCGCACTCTCTTTTGTTTGTTTGCTTAACATGGTTTAGTTGTGTCTGTGTGTGTCTGCAACTGTTTGCTTTTTGTCTGTGTGGGTGGAGGAGGCATTTCCCTCTGTCTGTGTGAGCCCCTTTCTCCTCGTCTCTGTATATGTATGTATATGTGTGTGTGTTTGTGGAAATTTACGAGCGGCGCGCGTTAAATTATCTAAATATGTTTGGGGCAAAAAGGTGACGACGAATGGGTTAACACTTTGAAAAGCTGCTGATGCGATGCTGCCCTCTTTGTTTGTGTTGGTATGCCTGTCTATGCCATCTGTCTATGTATGTGGGTGTTAGTTAGTTGCCTGTAAATGTGAGTGTGTGAATATCCTTAACATTTATCGGCATCCGAAAATATATTTATTTATGCATGGACCTGCACAGAAACACGATGTTAGACAGAAGATATCGGTTATAACTCAAAATAATATCGGTTGGTATAATTTAGTAGTAAAAACCATTTGATATCTCAAAAGGATATTGATTAAAGGAGCTGCAATTAAATTAGATGTATTCCAAAATAATATCGTTGGGTTTTTATCGATAACATAACTCGATATTTATCGAAATTATCGTAAATCAAAATAAATACCTAAAAGCGTAGTGCTGGAATTACATCATCTAAAAAAACCCTCAAATAGATCTGAAACTTAGTAATCAAATGTTTTAGTGGATATCCCATTTATTTCCCCCACTTTGGTCACTAATTTGCAATTGCCTCAAGCAAAGATTCGGAAAATTACGAATTTGCGCTTGTTTTTCTTGCTCGGCGGTCGAGGCAATCGATAAAATTAGCATAAAATTAAATGTAATATATGGCGAGAGGAGAACAATGGCTGGACTGGCAGCCACCCAAAAAGTGAGGGAAGGAAAAATCAGATATCGGCTGGAAGGAGGGGGAGTGAGAGAGAGCATCGCTAAATGGGGGACAGGATATGTCTAGTCCTATGTAAACTGTTTTCAGATATGTATATAACCCAACCTATTAGTGTGTGTGGGTGTGTCACATATATAGGTTTCTTGGGTTTTGCCACCTTTTTCGTAAAAATCGAAGCCGCTGATATTTATGTCCACCCACGGATGTACATAGATGGCGAAATCATGGCTAAAACCACACATGTGTGGATACCTTTTGGAAAATATTGCCGTTTGCCGACCATTCATGTTTATCCCCCGCTTTTTACTTAAGCTTTGTTGCGTTGTTTTATATTTTCCGATTTGTTTTGTTTTGCACTAATCCAATTAGAGGTAGTTTAAAAAACTGGCGCCGAGCTTATATAATTCACCATAATTCACTTGTTTTATTTTTTCCTAAGAAACTGCTGAACCGATGCCCTTAATTTTTTCACCATAAATCCAAGAATGTTTGAGCTATAAAACAAAAAAATTAAAATAATAAAAAACTGTTACGTCCGACATCATGGAATAAATAATGAAATAAAATAAGTGAATTATGGACGCGACAAAAAACAAGTAAAAATAACTGTCACGTCCGACATCCTGAAAATGACCATATATTATTTTTGCTAACAAATTGCTTTTGAATGCTTTGAAGACTACCTTTTTGCTATCACCTTAAACTTTTAGTTCCCTTCTCATTCGCCCTTTTTCAAACACTTTCCTTTTAAACTTTTCTGCAAGTTGCTCAAAAAAAAAGTAAATTAAATTCATGCTAAGGACTCCTCTATTTTTTCATAGCCATCAGTTGCAACTTTCCTTTCAAGAATCATCTCTGCACAAAGAAAAGAAGGGAGGACTAATTCATA